AATTGGCACTATACAAATAAAATGGAATTGAATTGAATAATTAAATCCAAATCGTTTGTAATCCATCATATTAATAATTAGGTTTACCGTTAACATCTGCAATGAGCCCAACTGTTCTAACCGCTAAACTAACCTGTTAGCTAAGTGGAACCAGAGGTTTTAACCTGTGGACGGACTCATTTTTGCAAGTAACTGTATTGGTTGTTTAGTAAGAAGGGAACATAGTGATGAAGATAAATAAGAAGGGTTTTAATGAAATCCTCGCACCCTCATAAAGACTCAGGCTGTTAATGTGATTTGTGACATTCCCAGCGGACAGCTGATAGCGATGGCGTTCATCAGGTGGTGTTACCTGGTGAATGCAGCAGCAGTGTGTGGGTTGTTTCTTTTTTCTTATGTGGAACTTTACAACCTCTGAAGCCGTACGGTCCATAAACTGCAGGCTAATGAGGCTGATGTTCCAGCTGTTCTGTGTCAGTCAACAGCTGGCAGATGTTCTGGTCGGCTGTCGGCCCATCACAGCTTCATTCATTTACATTTACAGTCTGAGCTGTGTTCTCGCCGTCAGCAGCTCGGTGCTTCACTCTTGTTCTCACAGGAGACGCAGGAGTTAGAAAGTTTAGGATTTTGTTCTTCATCTGTTTTTTGGGTCACTGCAGTAAACTTTCTTTACGTTCATTTGCATATGGAAAGTCTTCTGGGTCTGTTTTCTCAGAAAAACAAGGCCAGAAGACAAACAATAACCAAACAAACTGCTGGGTGCTAAACTGAACTGTTAGCTAACCTGATCTCAACCTTTTTATCTGCGGAATGAATCCATAAGCTATCCTTAACCAAACAATTTTAGCTAAACTGACCTGTTAGCTGAGCTGAATGAAACAAAACTGACCTCTAGCTACTCTGAACCAACTATTTATGTCGTTGTTAGCCGTGAGTTAAACTGAACCCAGTGTTTTAGCCATTAAACTGGTCCGTTAGTGAACCAGAATGGCAATGTTTAACACTTAATTGACACAGATTAGCACAGTTTTAGCTGCTAAACTGGACTGATTTGAACCAAACTAGATTAGAAAATACTAACAAAATACAAAATATATAATGTCATTTCCAATTTGTCTAATTTATCAGTTTATCTAAACTAATATATTTATGTTTTGAAGTATAATGCTCACAGAACAAATCTGGTGTCACAATATTTGCTCATTTTCCAAACTTTGGAGCCTGCAGAAAGAAGCATGAATAACCTCTGTTAGAGAGAAATATTAGAGTTAAAATGTGTCAGGATCAAGATTTAGGTGCAGTTAATGTTCAGGGTGGATTCAGTTAGTGATCCAGCACAGATCCATCCTGGCTGTTTGGCTTCAGTCTGACATCTCCTTCGATTCTGCTGAGCGCTTTTTGCCAACAAGTACAGATGACTTCTGCTCCGCTCGGCCCTCTCTGTTATCTCCATTGATCTGCTCCCGGTTGCCAATATCGCTCCCTGCTGAGGACACCGGAGGTCCAGTAAAACTGACCTGAGTGCCGTCATCACACTGAGACTCTGAGCTCCCACAGACCCAACACTCATTCAGCAAATTACTGTCAGCATACACTCTCTCAGGCCTGGTATTACAGGAAATGAAAACTAAGGTGATAATTAGGTTTCAAAGCATCACAGTGGTGGCTCGGTATGTTTATCCCATTAACTGCACATCACTTTATTGTTTTATTCTTCCTTCAAGGTAGCCAATGTGTTTTTTCCATCTCTATGAAAATCAGCTTACAAGGACTTAAAACTTGATATTCCGTCGTCAACAATTTACTCTTTTCCTTCCCTTCATCAAGAACGTGCACAGTTTTAACTAGAACCAAAGGTAGCTTAGAGCTCCACTCCTAGTGGAGATTGCCCAGCTTGATCATCTGGTTCTTGCCCAGCTTTCTTTCTCGAGAGGGATATTTGGACATTGGAGTTTCAAAGATGAATCAATTAATCAATTAGTCAACTCAAATGAATCAGCATCAATTTTCATAATCAATAAGTCATATTCTATAAAAGAAAATGCCAAAAGTTATTTTTTTGTTGTCTACTCTGATTTTAGATCTTTTTGTGTGTGTGTTGGTTGAGACCTTAGAAGACTTTTGTAATTGTGATGGGTTTATTTTAGACCAAACAATTAATTGATTAATAGAGAAAATAACAGACAGGGCTGATTGCCACCCAGACACGCCCCTGATTAAGGAGCAATAATACATAAGATACACAATGTAAGTGTGGAAGTAATCATTGATTTGTTAATTGATCGTTATCTGTGTAGTTTCTGGTGAGGGTTCAGAGTGTAAAAATTTGTTCAGGTTGCAGGACGACAGTTCCTGTCTAGAAATGCAAATATAAAATGTAAAGTAAGGTTATGGACAAAGACTCAATGTATTTAAATGTAATGCATAATGTTTATAAATGTAACATTGTGAAATGAGACGAATTGCACTAACAATTCCACCAGAAAGCTTTAACTGAGAGGAGATTCCAACACGTGTTCACAGGGCGACTGTGCACAACTTTGAAATTAGCTTTGACGTTAAAAAATAGAAAGAAAGTAAATTAACTTCTCAGATATGAGCATTACCACAGCAGACGGGGTCGTGGCCTCTCTGAAGGACTCAGACATTAATCCACTGCAGCAGGTACACGAGCGCAGAGCTGCAGTTCATTACCTGCATATCTGATTTACTGTACAGTCTGAAACTATTAGCATATTTGAATATAAAGACTTTAATTCCAGAGCGAGACAGACGTGAGAAAATTGGAAAAGCCCTCTTACAATTTAATCACTAGGAAAGTTAAAACAACTCATATATAGAAGGTATAGTGGGTTTTTTTAAAAGTAAAATTACTTAATAACTATAAGATTTAAGATTTTATTACTCTTTCTAAAACAGAACTTCAGGTTCAAGTAAAGAAATAAAAAAGCTACAGAGAGTGTTAAAAACAACCCTGATTACAAGACATTTTATAGGCTTATTATTGTGAAATTACACCCTAAAGGTCCAGTAATGTTGGCACCTAGCGGTGCAGTTGCAGATTACAACCCCCTCGCCTCAGCCAATCCTCCACAAAAGTCTCCAAAACAAATGGACCCGCTGATTAAAACCACTAAAAACACTGA